CCCAATACTGACCCCTGAGGAATGGCACTGTAATTCTGCTTCTAATAGCAGAACAGTCACAATTTTTTAGCTGCAGTGAGAAACCTTCATGTCACCATTTGGCTTAAAAAGCTGTATTAGTGTTTTTTCCACCCACACTGATCATAACAAAAAAGTGTATGTGAAGTTACAATTGAGTTTAAGAACCAGAAAACACATTGTGGTCACACTGATTTCAAGGGCCATGAATGCTCTTGCTTATCACTGTCACTTAGGGCCGCACATGTAGGAATATCTAAGAAATATGTGTTAGATTTGGGTGGTCAGACAACCCTTTCTCCCTACCTGCTTTCTCAGCCAGACCAGACCTTCTTTTTGAAATCAAGCAGCAAATGCCAGTCATGTATAGTACCTGGATTTGAAGGGCCTGGCTTTCTTAGGATTGACTGCGAGATGTCAGACAACTTGTATTAAGTGGAAATGTAATTATGGTTCCTAATGAATAATTATACATGGGTTTGTTGCTTTTACTTCCTACTCATTATGCATAATGGATAGGTGGGAGTCATTGAATCACTCCACAAGTTGTAGCATAGAAAATTCTTAACTTGCAAAACTATGGAGACTTTCTGCATGAAGTGACACATTTTCCAAGGCTAATGAACAGTTGACACAACATTAGAGGGCATCTGCTGACTACATTAAAATGATTGTAACAGTGGACAAGCTTTTTTCTAGCAAAGCTATTAAGAGCACTTGTTTTTTTTTAAGTTATAATTTGGGTGATGGTAAAAATAATTACCGTAGATTGATGCTAATTAAAGCTGTGTTGATATGATTATGTTTACTACTTGGGGAATTCTGAAAATGTTTCATAAGTAAATATTGGAGCCAGGGATCAGGACTTCATTGTGTAGGCACTATTCAAAGGTATGTAATAGGAAAAAAAAAAATATCTGTTAAAATCAGGGCTATGTTCTAAGATTATCTTGCTGAAGGAGCCATGGGGACAGCAGAGCTGTGACATAGCAGGAGCCAGACAGCATGCAGGTAGAAAGGTGTGTTTCTTTCCTCGACAAGTTGATACAGCCGCAACAGCATCACCGCCTACTGTCAGCTACCTTTGTATTTGCTGTAGGTAGGATAGGAAGAGGTACTTACCTCTCTTGTTCTTAATCAAGACATCCATTGCTCCATCTTGTTGGAGGGGGTGAAAGAAGGCCTGGGGGAGGTATTTTGCTGACCAGAGCTGGCCCGTAAGCCAACTTTGGTCACCTCGCCTGGAAAACTGATTCAAAAGTGCAAAAGCACCAGGTATGCAAAGAAGCAAACAAGCCGCATGTCTTCTGCTGGAGCAATCAAACATGTTCTGAATACTGTTTTTTCCTGAACTGGATTATTTTGAGCTTTGCAGGCTGTTGAAGCTGGTTTTATTGATATGATTGCTGTTGGCTGTCAGTGGTACTGTGGTAATGAAATAGCGTTTATGTTGAAGCAAGTACTTTGTGTACAGATTTTTCAACTGAGGTGACATTAGGTAAAATATTTGCAGCCTCATTCTTGCAAGATTTACAGCTCTTGTCTCTGTGCATACAGACAGCATGTATGTACCAAAACAATACCATAAATGTGTGTTGATCAGTATATTCACTAATTCATATAGCATTTTATAAAGCATCAAGTTCTTTGCAGTGTTGCCTGATTCTTTAAGAACCTGATGATGAGTTTCTTTGAGAGAGAGAAAGAGAGGGAAGTAGTGGCCCAATCTAGCTCAGCTGTACTCAATATGAGTTGCTTTCCTACCTACAAGCCCCTTACTTCAAAGCAAGGAACATAATGTACAATTTTTTAATGGCTCTAGACCAAGGCACTCAGACTCTCTGTGCACTGCGCCTTACCTCAGTGTAAACACCTAATCAAGATTGCCTGCGCTTCAACAATAGCAGCCAAATGCAATTCGAGAACCACAAGCCTTTGAAGTCCTCACTGCAAAGGCCGGTTTTCTAGTCTGGGATAATGACATGCCATGATTGCTGTCTTTGTTGTATCTTTTCAGTAGAGAAGCAATTATGGGCCTCAATTTAACAGAATAGGCATTACACAGCTTATGATTCTCAAAATGCAATTTCATTTGATCATTTTCTCAATTTGATTGGTATTAATAGAATAGTTCACAAAAAAATGCTGGCAGAGGTTGTGTCCTGTTCCTCTTTCAAAGAGATAATGTAGAAGTATGTTTTACCTGCCCAGTAAACTATCAATATGGTGAGTCAGTTGATTCCACCAAAAACATCCTACTGACTGCAAAGCTGTGTCTATCCACAGTTCAGGAAACCTGTGTGGTAACTTTTAATTTGTGAACTTCTCTAGTCACAACTAATAGAATCTGCGTTCCCATTTGGAGCAATGAGATCACCTGAAAACGCAGTAGTAAACCCTACCTACCTTTTCCTACTTGTCCGAATCTCTCACCTCCAAAGATAAGATGCTCAGCTTCCCAGAAGGATTTAACACTTCCTTCACACCGATTTCACTGTTACGATTTTCAGTTCATAATTCTCATGGTCACAAATATCTTCTCAGTGCAAGTTCTCCTGTCTTAGCCTGTGCCGCTCTGCAGTGGTGCATAGGGACTTCTGCCGCAAGCATGAGTCCAGCACATAGTTAGCTGTAGTCTCATTACGTGAGACTGCCTGACTGCACGCTTAATTGAGGTCACACCTGCTATAGTACTTAGCAGGATGGTTTGGGACGACACAAGTATAAATAAAAAATTAAAAAGCATTGTTTTTCCTTAAGTTTTATAGATTAGAAAAAAAAGTTTGATGCTTTCAGGAAAAATTTTCATTATTGCTATATTTACAAGGGTATCACTCGGCTTTGAAATCTGTAGTGCCAGCAGCCACCCTCGAAAAATTGCTCAAATTTGATTTCTAGCTATTGTGCTGCCATGACTGTGACCACGTGAAGATGTTCTTCTTGTTTGTGGGCTTGCTATTTTGCACAAGCAAAAATTTGTTTGATATTGTTGCCAGGCTATGTGTATTAGATGTTTTATTTCTGCAGCTTCTCCTTATACTTTTCTGCCAACATTACTATGTTTTGCCATCTTTTTCTGCATGACTCTGTTGTTCAAGACCTTGCTATGGTGTCTGTCACCCATCAATATCTTGGTACACTGGCTGATTGCTTGGACAAGGATGATTGTCTAGTTGCTTTCCTGTTATTAGGTACATCCACTGGCTCTATATAAATGGAGAAGCCCAGACTTCTTTTCCTCTCTTCTTAAAAATAGAAGGACTACTCCCTACTACCACACCACTGTTAACTGGTTTTTTGCTTCCTTTTTGATTTTCTCTTTTAGCTGTACATTTTCTTGTTATCCATTATATAATGCCTAACGTTAGCATTTTAGCTTTAATAGAAGGCAAATTACTTCTCATTCTTTCCCCACGACTTTTAAATCCTTTCATCTGGTTGGGCTGTGGCCATAAACTTTCTTGGTTTTTAGGTGGAAGATCCTAAAACTGTTGATGAGGAACGACTTCAAAGTGTCCTGCCATTCCAGACTGTGAAAATGGAGCCTGAAGACAAATGGTACCAGAATGCACAGCGGCTCAAGGTTCCTTTTCAATAGAACATGATAATTGAAATATATATGTAAAAGCATTGAAGTTTGAATATTTAAATCTGTAATCTCATTACTTTTAAAATACCAATTACTGACAATAAATCCTTAGATTTATATCAGTAGACAATCACCAAAATTTAATGCATGTGCTGCTTTACATACTGAATGATTTTAAATCTAAATAGATCCCAAATCCCAAGAAATCCTAAGGTCAAAGAAGCCTATCTATTTAGGACCTTATTTGGTTGATAATGGTGTAAAAGCACAAAACTAGTACATGGTTGTGTTTGATGGTTCATGAGGATTCTGAGCTAGAACTTAACTCCTGTTGCATGACTTGTCCTCTAAAATCCCCATGAACATCAAGGGGTTACCATAAACCAGAAAATGTTACAAATAGAAAAAGTTGCACTGTCCTTCTCTGGTAAAATCCCCATGAACATCAAGGGGTTAGCATAAACCAGAAAATGTTAAAAATAGAAAAAGTTGCACTGTCCTTCTCTGTACACATAAGTCTGTAGATTTGTTTTATGCTGGCCTTTCAAACCAATGCAATGGGATAGTCTTTGGAGCAATAAAAGAGACCAGGTTATCATCACTGATGAAAAAACAAGAACTTCCGAACCAGAACTTCAAGCCATTGGAATTATCATTGGCAAACCTAGTTATTCTCTTTGTATTACAAGTATTTAAAGTAATTCAGGCAGACTGTTTAAATTCCCCGCTGTTCACTTAAGACTGGAAGCTGCACTTCTGTAAAGGATAAACAAGATTTTATGCTGCTGTTCATTGTGAGAGATGTGCTTTATATATGGAATTTCAGAATGAAGGAGGTATTTTACAGGGCTGCTCATTCTGTTTAAATGGGAAAACATTGGCCTGGTCCCAGTTTGGCAGCAGTTCTTGCTTTCCACCAGTGGCACAATATGCCAGAACATTAATCGTTACAGCAGAGGTCGAGCTAACAAATCATCGTCTTGGCACCAGGAGTCAGGATTCCCCAGTGCTAAAGCTTTCGCCAAAACATTCTGCTCTATATGTGGATTTAATACCTACCATTAAGTAGTTATTCTGAGTGCATATGCTATGTAGTGATTGCAAGTGTTGCTAACAAAAGAACCCTAGAGAGACAGGAGGATGAAATGGAGGATTTTAGCGCTGACAAAGATTAAATGGACTGAAAATGGATTTGTATATTCCCTAGAAGGAAAGCCATGCCTTTCCTCAAAATGGGCAGCACCTGATGCTGTAATTGGAAAGTGATAAATCTTAAATAAACTCCAGATTTAGAGTATGTCAGTTTAGCTCAAGATAGTAGTCCTGGAGAGCTTCAATTCTTAAATTGTTTCTTACCATTTGGATAATGCTTTGCAGGATACGGGGCAGGGAGGAGTGCTTGATTTAGAAATGAGATCATTTAAATCATTGACATCAGTCTGTTTCTACTGTGGACCAGTCTAATAGTGTGTACGTAGCCATCTTTTCCTGAAATTTAGTACAGTTTACTTTCATTAGAGGATAAAAACCAAGAACTGGTTTGACTTTTGAAACATTTTCTCCAGATGGTTGACAGTGAGATACCACTTGACTACGGGATTAGAAACGAGTAGTCCTGTGGATTTAAGGGCACCTATTTTTGCACCTCATTCAGATAAAAATCCCTCATTCCATATTTGCCACAGCATCATTTCTGAGATGTGGTCTGCATCTGTAAGGAACCGTTTTTATAGTGTACTACTTCAGAATTTGTCTCAGGCCATTAAGCAAAGTTTTGATGCAGTATTATGCGTTTTCTGTGCAGCACGTGAATAGCATCTGTGCTTCCGTTCTTGACTAGGGCTTCCTACATATCTTAATTTTGGATTAAGTCTAGCCAGGGTATCACCTGGTCTAGGCATGAGCATAATTTACTGAGTCAGGTTTAGATACAAGCAGCACAGAGTGATTTTGATGGGTCTAATCAAACTTGTGCAAACTGGCCTAACTCATTATCAGTACGTCAAAAAAATGTTATCACAGTCACAGAGGACAAACACCATACCTAGGGCTCTTTAAGGGCACTTCTATCAGGACAAGTTTCATAAATTCAAAAACCCCAAACCTGAAGCCTTACAAGTTCCACTAAGACAGACTGTTCTCCATACCATACTAGACTTCAGGACATAGATGCTTTTCCTTTTACACTTCACTCTCTGCCAAGAGCTCGCTTTTAAAACTAATTGCCATCACGATGCACATTCAGCCGTATAAAACATTGCTATAACCCTTTTCTAGTTGTAAGTGTACATTAAACAGGGGTGGCTGGCTCCATACATCCATGATTTTTAAAGGGACAGAAAATTATGCACTCCAGCCTGTTCAGGCCTGTTCAAGGCACCACATCAACACATGTTCAAAATTCAGTACATGTTCAGAACTCACCTTCATTGTAATCTGCACGGCTATTTAAGGGCTGTCTAAAATAAGAATGTTGTCCTGAGTTAGAATCATAGAACATGATGTAATCTATCATTAACATCAGTTAATCAGTTAATTTGTAGAATTCTAAGACATAGCTATGTGAAAGACACTGTGACAGGCAAACTTACCCATACACTTGTGTATTGTTGATCTTAATGAACACATAATATAGCAACCACTGAAATTCACCCCACTTCTGATAACTTGTTTTAGGATCACCAAAAAAAGTCCTCCCACAGAAATAAAATAAAATCCAACCCGAGTTTCCAAGGGAGAGCTTTCCCAAGGAATGATAGCCAGCAGCCACCCGGAAGACCAGCAGAACTGAAGTCTGGGCACCACAGGCACCACCAAATATCAGAATTTCAGACTGCTCCCATGCGGGTAGTGGAGCAAGACCACAGCAGCGCACTGCAGAAATGGCTGTATCCAAGTCCCTCTGTTGGCCCTGATGCTAATACAGCAGCAAATTCAGGTACTTGCCTAAAAAATTTCCCAAATTCAAGACATTTTGTTAATCAGGATTTTACCACATCTGTCTATCTTTTTCATCCAACGTTACATAAATTTAACCCAGCAGAAGTTACATCTCCGGCATGTACCAGCAAGGACAACAAGAAACATCAGCATGATTCTCCAAATGGACTTCCACATGACCAGCAACATCTATACACCCCTGTCACTGTGCAGCTTTTTGCAAGAGATAGCAGTACCAATGGTCAAGCACATCCAAATCAGATGACTATTTCATCTACTTTTAATGCCAGTTTTCAAGAATTGGTGAAGGATCAAGTATCACTTCAGGATTGCAAAAGACACGTTTTTGTGGATAAAAGGTATCAGAACCATGCTATCAGTAGTTTATGGTAAGGATATGTGTGTTGAAACAGCCTTAGCATAACACTACGATGCCCAGAAAAAAATATAAATGGACAGGAAAATGTTTTAAAGTCCAAAGCATAAAATTATTTTGCCACAAACCTGCCACTATAGAGTACTACTAACTTAAGATTCATTATAACTATTGATTTTTAAATATGGTATTGGAAAAGGACAGTTCTGTACTCCAGGCTGTCTTGCACATAGAGTTTTCCACAATTGAGAGTTTCCTTCTGAAAGGCTAGAAGGTGAAGTTTAATAAAATGTATAGCAAAGAGCACTGTGCATAAACTAAGTTTTCATTGGCTTCAGCTAGCTTTGCATCAGGCTGAAAGTTTCCCCATCTGTAATTTTTCCGTTTATTTTAAACAGTTTCCATACACTTGGGTGCAAGCAAAGTCAGTTATTGTGAAATACCCATCTTTCCATCTTCATGTTCCCAGTATATTCTGTGAGCAAGGATCATTCCATGTACAGATTGCTTGTTGAGCTATCTGCTGTATACAAATAAAGATTCTTATTTTCCCCCCTCTTTCTTTTTTGAGGCCTTCTCAGTCTTCTGTTCACAGGTCACCAACAGCCCCTTGTACAACCTCCCAGTTTACACAAATGATGGAGCAACATCGCCAAGAAATCACTCATTTGACAGAAGCTCAATTAGCTGACAGGCACTTGTTGAGTCTGCTTCCACCTATAATTCCGCAGGCAGAAAGTGATTCAGAGGTAGATCCAGAGGGCGGCGAAGGAAGTCAAGTGAAAATAAGCCGAAGCAACTCAGAGGAATATCTCATGCAAATGGAAAAGCAAAACCAGCCTAAAGTCATCAAGAAGGTAAGCAAATAGATGTGGATTGGATGGTTTTACATTTCTGTTTTCCCCTCTGATTAATTTTTTTAATCTTAATAATCCAAAGGTCTTCACCAAAAAAAAAGGAATGGGGACTGAGAAATATTCCATTGTTACAAAGAGCACACTGACACACACTGACTTGACCAGAGCATTAAAAGCCAAGGAACAAAGGTGGAAACAGACGCTAAAATCGTTTTAGTCTAAAGAGCAAGGCAGTTCACCACCACCTCTCCCTGTGTCACTTTCAGTCTTGATTAGCTCTAAGAACACACAGAGCAGTGTTTGTCCTTTAAGTTATCCAATGATAAAATGACTTAGAATAAAGCTATTTGTATAAAGCAGCAGGTAGCCAGGCCTCAGATCTGAGCAAACCATTATCCTGGTCATGCTCATTTGCTACCCAACTCAAATCTCTTGGTTTCCAAGGGAATCAAACTGAACAACAACAAACTTAGAGGATTTGTAAAGCTAACGGCATAAACATTATTACAAGTCTCCTGATGATCCCATTTTGGTCCTTATTAAAAGCTGGTTCTTTTTGTCTTTTCTGTGTGTGCAGTTTCATATTGTAACCGGTTAATACAGATGCAGTGGACAGCATGGAGATATCATGTCATGTGTCCATGACAAATTAAATGTTTAAGAAGTTAGCTCCAAGTCTCAGAGCAGACAAACTAAGCTGGAATAATTACTCATGTGTTTCATCTAGGAGGCAGTTTGTGTATTGCTGCTTGAATGCCTCTAAGAAGAATTAGCTGGATTATGATAGTAACTGAAGGACAGATTTCCTTCCCTTTCTGTTCCCCTCAGTTCAAACCATTGTTTCTGTCCTGTGTTTTCAGTAGCTTTCTCACGCTTCATATGTGAGGAATGCCACAGAGAATAAGACTGTTTATGTCTCTCAGAAAAATTCAGCTTTTCCTAATAAACAAATGCAGTCATATTCATCACATGAAGTGAGAAAACCCTGATTTTGTTGTAGACAGCTAAATTGTTAATTCTTCCCAGTAACTTAAATTAAATGATAGGTGTAAGTACATTACAAAAGAATATGGATAACTGACACAAAGAAACATCAAATAGAAATTTGGGTGCATAGAATTAGTTTCTCTGCAGTTGAGTTTAACTTGAACATGCATGAACAAATGCACATTTTATTTGCATATAGAAATTTTTTGCTGTTTCTGCATTACTCTGTGATTGAAATTACCACAGAGCTGATCATAATGAGTTTCCACGGCCAAGTTTTTAAAACATAGCCCACTTCTAAAAATTAATCTAGCATTCTTGAAAGAGATTAAAAAATTCTGGAAGTATTGCGGTCTTTGTAGTAATGTCACGTAGTGTTGAAATGGCATCACCCATCAGTCTTCTTCTGTCTTCCCTATGCACTTGTAAAGCTTCTGCTGTGCTGCAAGGCATGTATTTTTCCACTCTGTGAACAATTTTCCATTGCAGTTTTGAGAACAAAGAAAGGTTCTAATAACATTTGCCTAATATTTTTACCACGGAAATCAGGTACTTTTATCTGCTTCTGTTATGACAGTTTCTTTGGAGTTTCATTCTAATAACAGTCAAATGGGTCACTTAAAGCTGTTTAAAAATAAAGCTCACAAAAGATCATTTTTGACTGAGAAAGTATTGCTTTGTGATTTGGATGATTGGCAATTACCCGCCTAGATTCAAAGGAAATACAGTGTAATTTGACTTGTGCAATTAACTCAATCTTTTTGGTCACTTACAATCCTTAAAATGGGACATGCCAGAGGTAAGACTGAGACTGCAGGTTGAATCCTGCTCTTGTCTCAGGTGTCTGCTACAGGACTTGCTTCAATTATGCTCTCCGTGAAATCATATAAAGGAAAATCTGTCACCGCTGTTTGTTTTTCAGCCATGTAGCTCAAAAGCGTACATAAATCTGAATGTGAAGCTTGGAGGCCTTGGACCTGACTATGAAACAATCAAAGAGAAAGTAAGTGGTACCTATTATATGATCTGCTTTTCAGTTGTGCAAAGTCAACTTAGGCAGGGGAGAATAGCAAAGAAATTACTGCTGGGCAGCGACTTATGTTTGTCTGGTACTTTATGTCCTTGACTCTAGGTCTAGCTTGAGATCCTAAGGGGAGATTCAAACAGAAGGAAAGACAACTGTACTGTGGATAATTTTAACCCTCTAATTTTGTAGTTCCAGAAACAGGGCGTAGTTCACAGAGTTCAACAGGGCTAATTGCACATCAGTAAATTACACATTCATGTGAGTGAGTTGCGTTGTCATTCCCAGTGTAGAAGGTTTGCCTAACTTTCAAAGTGGAAGTAAAGGAAGAAGTTGTGTAAACACGAGAAGAAAATAGCTGGATGCGCATTACCCTGTTGAAATGGAGACAGATTGTTCAGAACAAGTGTCTGAACAATTAGTATAATTTGACCTGTTCTCTGCTGATAATGAGGGTCCGGTAGCAGCTTGTATCTAAGGTGCTGCAAACTCCATCCTGCATGCTTTGAGACCCTATTAATCTGTCAACAGATGCTTTATGTGGCATTTTTTATAGAAACATTGTAGGACAGTAGGAAGGAAAAATGATAAAATGATCATCCCTTTGGAGTCATTGAGAAGCCCCTGTATTTTCTTCCTCCTTGCCATAAATGAAACAGATTTGAGATCTGAAATTGGAATGGTCACAGTGGTGCATAGCCCAGGACTCTGTGCATTTTTAATACCATCATAACACTTCTGGAACCTGGCACACCACTGGGGTATCATCGCATTGAAAGGAAATAATTGACGTTGGCTGGTAACAGGGGCAAGGTAGGGCATACCGCTGAATTTGAGCATCATGAATTGCTGGAAATACAAGGACACAGAATATCAGCTAAATAAATGAAGCACGTCATTCAGGGCCTTCAAAGTAAGTACAGAGGTTTTAAAAGTCATTACAAAAGCTGACAGAAATTAGAACTGAACAGATATACTGAAACATTCAGAATAAAGATGCACCTGTCACATTTCTGTTGAGCTCTATCCTCAATATGGTCCAAGAAAAAGCTCTTAAAAATGAAAAGTGCCTAGAAAAGCTGTGCCATTTATCAGGATTTCCTGTTGTGTTCTGCTGAGGAATAATCAATAGCATAGCCAGGTTTAACAGCAACTGAGGTGTAAATGGAAGACTCTGGTGGAAAAAGTGTTTCATTGATGGATCCACTGAGAGATTTAATTAACCAAACACTTCTTTCCTTTTGTCAGAAAGAGAAGTTAAAGAAACAAAAAGAATATGCAAAGCAAATTAAGGAACACAATATGAAAAGCATTGCTTCTATTCAGAGGTTACCTACAAAACCCCAGGTCATATCTTCAGTGTCAAGACAGAAGGTAAGAACAGAGTCCCTTTAAAATGCATGCAGGGTGAGATTCTGGACTTTGCACAAAGGAAAAGAAAAGCATAAATTTAACTCACAGTAGGCTAAAATAGTTTCTCCGTTTTTATTTTCCTTTTAACAACTCTAAGGACTGCTGCTCTCACGGGATCCTGGCAAGTGCTCATCTGTGTATCTATTCTGTTATGGCTGTAGATGTATGCTAAGAGTTGCTGATTTCTTTGCCAACAGCAGTCTTCAGTCCATGCATCTGCCTTGCTCTTCATGAGAGTGTACCAAGTGGAAATGGAGCAGTACTCCATCCAAGCTACCAGCACTCAGCTTGGCTTAAACAGTTAGTGATGTTTTCCTGGGTAAAGGGTGGGCGTAAAGGAGAGTGAGACCCCCCGTGCAAACATTACCTGGTGCAGCACATGCTCAGCTTCACATCAGCAGTAGAGGCCACACCACTGCAGAGTGCACTCTTCTAATGGATCACAGATATCCTCTTCTTAGTCTATTATCCACCTGCCTGTCAGTCTCGCTCACAAACTCTTTTCACTTCAGTTGCATAGCTACATTAATTAGTCTTGTTTTTCAAGCCCATACAACATCACTTTAGCCTTCACTGCCCTTCAAAAATAGTCCAAATGAGCAATGACTGACTACATGACAGTGGCATACATAAACAAAAAAAGGGAGCACCTTTTCCCTATTGCAGGAAGTAATAAAGCTCTGGAAATAGCATATATTTTATCCAATCAGTCCTGCAGCAGCTCACCTGCCTGGTGCTCAAACTACGCTGATGGGTATTCCTCCAAGGTGACAAATGAGAACTGTATGTTTCAGGAAAAAAGTTTTGGAGTTTAATATCAGTTGAATTCCTTGGTTACTTGCATTTATTTCCAAGCCTCACATAAACTGCATTCTTTGGATGTCAAAAGGGCTTTGGATTCCTTCAGAAGGCTTCCCAGACA